GTTCGAACTAGGCTTAGTCCTCGTGGAATGAGGTTTATCTAGTTTGAACTAAGCGCTCCGCTAGTTCGAATTAAGTTCGAACTAACGGAGTGCTAGTGTAGCGCCTATTAAAGTTAATTCGAACTAATGTCTGTTAGTTCGAACTAGTAAGTTCGAACTAGGCTTAGTCCTCGTGGAATGAGGTTTATCTAGTTTGAACTAAGCGCTCCGCTAGTTCGAATTAAGTTCGAACTAACGGAGTGCTAGTGTAGCGCCTATTAAAGTTAATTCGAACTAATGTCTGTTAGTTCGAATTAACTTTGTAGTGTAGACATACCCTTATTTAGTAATTTGGGCACTTTCAGTTTCTTAATATGCATTCTAAACATAAGGAACATAACATAATTTTCCTTCTTTGCTTGCTTGCTTTCTGCACTACAGTCAAGTCAAGCCTTTTACCTCCTTATTGACTTTTCCTCTAAGTCTATGTGCTTACCTTTTGCATAAGATGTAGTGGGTCTTTGCCCATGAAAGCTGGTGTCCAAATAAGTCTATTAGTCTTTAAGGTGCCACACTCCTTGTTGTGTTTGCAGATACAGACTAACATGATTACCCTTCTGATACTTCTTGCTTAGGCTATCTGATCTTACTGCTGTCTATGTATTTCAGCTAGCACTGTGCAGTCTTAAGAGAACCAGAAGGGAACTGTCCATACTAGGTGAAAAAGTTACATGAAACATTTTTGCAGTGTCTTGAAGCTGCCAGGCCTGCACAATGCTATGCATCTAGGTGCATGCAGGTGTTGTCTCAGTCATTTTGTAAGCATTCATTTAACAGTAATTTTAGTGATATATCTGTAATGAGATCTCTAGCTCAGATCAGGCAGATACAGTGTAATTTACAATTGCTTCCACTCCATGTGGGAGGGGAACCATAAGAATTGTAGCTGCATTGTTTCAGCAACTCCTCCCAACTCTATTCCATAGTGCAGTGCCTTATATTTCCAGCAAAAAGTCTCTTCTTCCAAATCAGCCTTTCCCTCTGTTCACTCTTCCCTTTTTCCTCCTTCGTTTTCTTTCACTCTGCTGATTTTGTTTTAGATCTTCTTGTATTCTTGCTCCAATATTACTGGTCTGTGGGCCACATGCTGAAGCACATCGGCCTTTTCTAGGCAATGAATTCAGTGGACATGCGTTAAGCAAGCACCCAGAAAAAAGTATTTTCAATAAATATA